CAGATACCTCTGAAACTCAAGGGCAAGCATTAGGTACTCACTGATGTGAAACACATTTCCAGAAACAAAGCCTTCAATGAACAACAAAAAACCCACCCTCCAGAGGCTGGAGATAGAAACAAGAAATTCCCCAAATGCATAAAAACCAATGTAGAGGCCGGCGCCACAGCTCACTAGGCTAATCCTCCACCTGCAGCGCTGGCACACCGGGTTCTAGTCCTGGTCAGGGTGCCGAATTCTGTCCCGGTTGCTCCTCTTCCCATCCAGCTCTCTGCTGTGGCCAGGGAGTGCAGTGGAGGATGGCCCAAGTGCTTGGGCCCTGCACCCGCATGGGAGACCAGGAGAAGTACCTGGCTCCTGCCTTCAGATCAGCGCAGTACGCTGGCCGCAGCAGCCATTGAGGGGTGAACCAACAGCAAAAGGAAGACCTTTCTCTCTGTCTCTTTCACTGTCTACTCTGCCTGTCAAAAAAAAAAAAAAATGTAGAAACCCAAGAAACATGAATAAGGAAAGCAATAGGGCTCTCTAACAGGAACAGAGGAATATATTAATATTAGGCTGTGAAGCAGAGGAGTTTGACAACATGTCTGAAAAGTAACTCAAAAGAATGACTGCAAGGTTACACAGAGAATAGTTAAAGGAAAGAAGAAGCCAATATACAAGATGGATGAGAAATTCTGCAGAGATAAGAGATGCTGAAGAAAAATCCAACACATTTTAGACAGGAAGTAACAAATAAGTCAAATAAAAAGCACAGTGGAAGGCACTCACAACACACTTGGTGAGGCAGAAGAAAATATCTCATCCAAAAGACACGTCTTTTCAAGTATCTCAATCAGACCAAAAGAAGTAAAACACTTAGAAACACTGAAAACAGCACTCAGGATCTATGGTATACCAATATGCAACCGAATACATGAGTCCTCGGAGTTCCTGAAGGTATGGGAACAAAAAAAGAATGACTTAGAAAACCTACTTAATGAAATCATAGCAGAAAATTTCCCCAATTTGGAGAAAGACGTGAGAATCCAAAATAACCCCAAGTAGGCATGATCAGAAAAGATCTTCACCATAACACATTATTGTCAAACTATCAGAAGTAAAACATAAAGAGAATAACCTAATATGTGTGAGAGAAATGCCAGATCACCTTAAAAGGATCTTCCTCAGATTAATACCAGATGTCTCAACAGAAACCCTACAGACCAAGAGAGAATGGAGAAATATAGTTCAAGCCCAAAAAGAACAATCTGCCAACCCAGAATAACTTACATTGCAAAGCTCTCATTCATGAGTGGAGGTGAAATAAGACTTTCCAACACAAGAAAAACTGAAATAATTCATCATCAACTAACTACTTTACAAATGATACTTAAAGGTTATACTACAAACAGAAACAGAGAAACATTCAACATCATGAAAGAATGTGAAGGCAGAAAACCACCTAGTAAAATTAGAAAGGAAATTCAAAATAAACAATAGGAATTTTTATGGGAAAATGATTAGGAAAAGTCATTTTTTATGAATGATACCCTTCAATGTAAATGGACTAACTTCTAATTAAGAGATACAGACGGGCTGAATGGATAAGAGAAAATAAGACATCTGTATACTGCCTACAAGAAACACATTTCACCAATAAAGATAAACACAGACTGCAAGAGAAAGGATAGAAAAGAATATTCCATGAAAATGGAAATAAAAAACTAGCAGGAGTGGCTATTCTCATGTCAGACAAAAGAGACTTTGAGGAAACAACTGTTAAAAGAGACAAAGAAGATCATTATGTAATGATTAATGGATAAATTCAACAGGAAAATGTGACTATAATAGAGGTATATGCACCCAATGCCAGGGCCCCCAGTTTTATAAAACAAATGTTAATGGACCTAAAAGGAGACAGACATACAATACCATAATGGGAGACTTCAACCCCACACTTTCATCAATGGAGAAGTCACCCAGACCCAAAAAAAAAAAAAAAAAATAGCAAAGAAACAACAGAGCTAATCTACTCTAACAACCATATGGACCTAATAAATATCTGCACAACATTTCCTCCCACAGCTGCAGAAGAGCTGCAAAAGATGCAAAAATCCTCAACAAAATCCAACATCAAAAAGATTATCAATCCCAGTCAAGTAGGAGTTATCCCAGGGACACAGGAATGATTCAACATACACAAATCAGTAAACATGACACATCCCATCAGCAAAATGAAGGATTACCACAATAGATGCAGGTAAGGCATTTGATAAAATGTAGTACTCTTTCATGCATGATAAAAAAAAGAAATTTTTAAATGAGATTTTAAGAGGAGCATACCACCACACAATCAAGACAATTTATAATAACCCCATAGTCAGTATCATATTGAATATGGGAAATCTGGAAGCATTTCTACTAACATCTGCAACTGGAAAAGGATGCACACTGCCAACATCATTTATGCAATATATTTCTAGAAGTTTTAGCCAGCGCCATTAGGCATGAAAAAGAAATCAGAGGCAGACAAGTTATAAAGTAGGAAGTCAATTTGTGGATAACAGTATCCTTTACATAGAAGAACCAAAGGACTCCATTAAGAGATTTTTGGAACTCAGAATTTGGCAAAGTTGTAAGACATAAAATCAGCATCCAAAAATCACTAACATTTGTATACAGTAGCAATGCTCTGTGTGAGAAAGAACATTCAAAATAGCTGTAAGAAATGTAACTACATTGGAATAAATTTAACCAAGGATGTGAAAGATCTCTACAGTGAAAATTACAAAACATTAATAAAGGAAATAGAAGACACGAAATTTAAAAATCTTCCATGTTCATGGATTGGAAGAATTAGTACCATCAAAGTGTCTTATTACTCAAAGCAATTTGCAGACATGATTCCTAACAAGATGCCAAGGACATTCTTCCCAGCTCTAGAACAAACTATCCTTAAACTCACAGGAAAACACAAAAGACTCTGAAAAGCCCATTCTTAAACAATAAAAACAAAGCTGGAGGCATCACAATACCAAAGTGTAAGGCATACTACAGGGCAGTTACAATCAAAACAGCCTCACACTGGCACAAAATACACATGTAGACCAATAGAACAGAATAAAAACCTAGATATTAATACTAGCATTTGCAATCATCTAATCTTTGGCAAACAAGTTAAAATCACTCCCTCGATAAAGGACAAACTCTTCAACAAATGGTGTTGGGAAAACTGCATGTCCAGATGCAGGAGTTTGAAGTGAGATCCCTACCTTACACCCTGTACACAACTCAATGCAAAATGAATGAAAGAGCTAAATCTACGACCTGATACCATTAAATTACTACAGGAACAAATAGGGGAAAAGCTACAAGATGCTGGCCTAGGCAAAGACTTCTAGGAAATAACCCTAGAAGCACAGCCAATAAAATCAAAAACATATAAATGTATTATGAAGCTTCTATACAGAAAGGAAACATTGAACAAAGTAAAAAGGCAACTGACAGAGTGGGAGAAAATATTTGCAAACTATGCATCCAATAAAGGATTAATATCCAGAATATAGAAGGAGCTCAAGAAATTCCACAATAAAAAAATAAACAGCCCAGATAATAAATGGGCAAAAGGTGTGAACAGGCATATTTCAAAGGATGAAATACAAATAGGACAAGTGAAAATATGTTCAGGATCACTAGTCATAAGGAAAATGCAAACAAAAACCACACTGAGGTTTCACCTCACCCCAGGTAGAATGGCTTTCATACAGAAATGAACAAACAAGTGCTGCTGGCAAGGATGTGAGGGGAAAAGTATCCTCATATATTACTGGTGGGAATGCATATTGGTACAACCATTACGAAAAACAGTATAAAAAATCCTCAGAAAACTAAAAATAGATCTACCATATGATCCAGCTATCCCACCCCTAGGAATAGCAGCATTCACAGCTGATGAAATATGGAATCAACCTAGATGTCTGTCAACTGATTACTGGAAAAAAGGAAATGTGGGATATGCACACAGTGGAATATTTCTCAGATCTAGGAAAGAATGAAATCCTGGCCGGCGCCGCGGCTCACTAGGCTAATCCTCCACCTGCGGCACCGGCACACTAGGTTCTAGTCCCAGCTGGGGCGCCGGATTCTGTCCCGGTTGCTCCTCTTCCAGGCCAGCTCTCTGCTGTGGCCCAGGAGTGCAGTAGAGGATGGCCCAAGTGCTTGGGCTCTGCAACCATGTGGGAGACCAGGAAAAACACCTGGCTCCTAGCTTCGGATCAGTGCAGTGCACAGGCTGCGGCCACCAATGGGGGGTGAACCAATGGAAAAGGAAGACCTTTCTCTCTGTCTCTCTCTCACTGTCCACTCTGCCTGTCAAAAAAAAAAAAAAGAAAGAAAGAAAGAAAGAAAGAAAGAAAGAAAGAAAGAAATCCTGACATTTCCAACAAAATGGATACAACTGTGCTAAGTGAAATAAGCCAGACCCATAACGACAAATATCACAGTTTCTATTATTTATCTTAATAGAGTATAAAAATTGTATGGATATCATATCATTTGGTAAAGACTTATAAATGTTGCTTCACTGAATATACCATGTAGCAGATAATACAGTCTTCTGTAATGTTTTATTTTTGTGTGTTGGTTATGAATGTGATCAGAGGACAAAGAAACACATTTATCTATATGCTTAATGTGCATTTCTTTGTGTGTATATTGTATTTCAATAAAATATAGAAAATAAATTAATAAATCAGACCCAGTAGTCAACTGCTCCAAACCAGAAACTGTCCTTATCCTACACAGCATACCCTTCCCATTGAACAAACTTGCCAAATCATACGATCGCTTCAGAATTTTGGGAGAGTCCCAACATGTGATGGCCGGCCCCTCAGTCACTTCAATATTTTCTCTACTTCCACCCTCCACATAAACCACCTGCACATTTCTCCCTTCTCTTTTCTGAGATCCAACACAGCTGAGGATCAAGGCAGAGTCCTCACTGGAAGCAGACTGGGTACCTGTATTCAGACCACCACACGCTGGGAGACCAAGCACATCGACACCAACTCCAGTTCCAGTGGCCAGGCTCTGAGTGGAAACCTCAGTCCATGGCAGGCTATGCGTGTTCAGGAACAAAGCACAGCAGGGAGTGACTGGTGAGAGGGCTGTTGGGGCTATTCTGACTTGCCGTAGGCAACTGTGGGTAACCAGCTCAAGTATGCCTTCCATCGGTGATGGGGACAGCGCAGCTCTGTGGCACTCGGTATTTCAGAGCACTGGGCAAACTGAAAACAAAGCACTCCACAACAGACAAGCAGCCCCTCTCTCCTGTGTTCACTTAAGCTTTTTCTTCCCAAACTGCTGGCTGGATTTTACCAGGGCTTCACAGACAGCCAACACTGCAGCTTGGGAAAGCTGTCAGAGCTATTATTTTCCTTTTCTTTTCCACATTGATTCCATCTGAGACTGAACATATCAGCAATTATGCCTGTCAAATCAAGACTTAAACTTCCTATACAATTGTGAAAGTATCCCCTGTTGTCATCAGGCCATCTGGAGTGCGGCTGGCTTTGCGAATCCCCGCATGTACACAATCAGACCCGGGGATCATCTACGGTGCGATCACTTCAAGGTTTCTTTTCCAGGGATCCAAGCCAGGGAGCAGTCCTCATAATGAGAACTAGAGAAATGAGAACTGCGCACTGTGTTAAAAGAGATAAGGAACAGAAGTGAGCTGTGCAGCATTCAGCCGGGATGGGAAAAGCGACACAAGGCTAATCTGTGATCCAATTTGTATAATATATATTTGTTTAGATATACGTGTGTGTACATAAAAACCAGAAGACCGTAAGCTCAGCTCACAGCGCGATATGGCATGCTTTATTTTCACTTGCACATATTTTCTCAGGTTTCCATAACCGCGGATTACTTCTGTTGTAAAAGCACTGTTTTACGCTAGCGTGAGAAGCGCTCAGGATGAATATGGAACATAAGTCTCTGCACAGAGACCCAGAACGCCCAAGCTCACATGTACAATTGTGTGTACGTAAACAGGCACGGGGCTCCGGAAGACAGAGCTGAGCCTGTGAAAACACAGAGCCTGCATCGCAGCCCCGGAATATTTATATACACTCACCGAGATATTTATACACACAGCCCCAGACTTCCTCTGCTGCTTGCTGGCCGTGTAGGCAGCCCTGGTGGCCTCGGCCGAGTCTGCTTTACAACACTACTGCTGAGGACCTTAACCTTGCTCTGACATATAAATTCCAGCGGCAATGAATTATAATATGGGGAATCTTCCCCAGTAACAGCTCAGAAAACAAAAAGCCACCAAACTTTTCCAAACGCCATTATTTTTTAAGAGAAATGAGGAGCCAAGGGAGAGGAGGGGGCGGTTGAAAAACAAATAAAAAACCTATTCCCTTCTTCCAAGCCGAAAGCACTAAATCGTTACTGCCTTATAAATCTCTACCAATTTGTGCTCCATGTAAATCTCCAACGGGAGTTCTCCTAGTTCCCCTTCCCTTAGAAAGTGGTTGCCAGGATGTTTATAAAATCGTTACTGGTAGGTTTTCCTCTGCAGGAAACACTCAGCTGCAGCCCCATCCTTTTGGGGATGCAAAAATGTATTTCCAGAGGCAGGAAGCTTTTTCATAGAGAGGAAAAAAAAAAAAAAGACAAGTTCAAACCATAATTATATTCTCACAAAGAAATTGAGAAATGGGATTTTTTTTTTTTTTGGTAGATCAATGGCTTTATCCAAGCAACAGCTCATGAATAAATCTTTTTAAAGATCTAAAATGTGACACAAGCTCATTATTAAAAAATATTCAAATAAGTATAAAGAGTGAAGGGGGAAATGTCATACGGTATTCTGAACCAGAGCTGCATTCCCGATGCTACATCTTTTTATTTTGCTTAATTATTGGGAGAGAACGTTTTTGGTTAAAGTGAGATCTGTCAGATCACTTTTCCTGCAGATATTTTAACTGTAACCAAATAATGCAACACTAATCTGTAAGAGTTTTTCAGTAATAGATGTTTTTCCTCGGTAAATCAATGCAAAGGCTAATTGGGGTGGAAGGTGACTATCTCTCGTGGTTATAAATACATTTGCATTGCTATCAATCTTTTCCACCACTGATGTTAAACGAGGCTGAACAACCTAGAGAGGGAAAAAAAAAAAAATTGAGGTTCAATATTAGGCTGAAGTAAATGCTGCCATCAAGTGGTCACATAGAGAGTTGTCTTCAAGAACAATAAAGTTGTCAACTCCGTTACAGACATCTTTAAACCTGGAATCAATCTTATTCATAGTTTGATGTAGATTTTTGTTCTAAACACAGGCCAAAAGAAACATATGGCGTCTTTCTACAGTGCCCTTCTGCTAAAAATGTGGCCCCAGAGCATAACAAAGCAAACTAAATTACAACCAAACTCTACAAGGAAATATTTTCAGAGTCCCTTGTTACTGCATGACATGTCCACACCAATAAGTCTAACTACCGCTAAGATGTATTTTGGTTGCATTGGCCTTCTACTTTGTAATGTTAAGTCACTGGACTCCGTTTTCTGTTTAATTGGCATTTAATAACAGTGCATATTTATGGAGTACAGTGTCCACTATGTGTGATGATGGCACAGGGTGAGTATCAGCGCCATCATTTCCCACTTCTCTGCATTTGGAGCCTTCACGCTCCTCTCTCTGGATTGTCATGAAGTACACCCTCCTGTGCTGTGGAACACTGGAACGTCAACCTCCCAGCCCCCGGTACTTTGATCCCTGCCATCCTGGGTCCCTGTACTCCCCACACCACCCTTCCTAGCCCCTAATAATCACTAATCTGCTCCCCTCCTCCTATTTTCTAATATTAAAACACTGTTTTATGGAACAGTCCTAACACCGATACGTGCCAACTTCATCGTGATCACTTCGACGGTTCATCTCTTAGCACCGACTTTGAAGCGGATGAAATGCATTTCAGGGATGACAAACAGCTGCTTGGGAAGGCAGCCTGGAACTCTCACATATCAGACACTGGGAGATACAGGCTTCAAACTCATTGAAGATTGGACTCCCTGTCCCTAAGATTAATTGTAATACTAACTTATTTCCATTTGTCATGGCATGGAAGAAAAGTATGCTATAGAAGTCATAAAATGTGAATTTTTAATCAACAGATTTTAACAATATTTATCAAAAGCTAATTATTTTTATTTCTATTATTTACATAATGGAAGATGCCAAAAAAGCATTAAGTATAAGTTAGGATGAATCCCAAAGATACTGTAAATGGTGTAGGGAAATTACACGATCAATAAGAATTTTAAATATGTACTCCATAATTAATAGAAATTTGGAAGTAGGAGAAAGCTCTAAAGTTTCCAAATTTGGATAAAACCTGTGGTATAAAATATTTCTCAAAATCTAGTCAACAGATTGCCTACAACAAAATAGCAAAAAGTACTGATTTTAAAGATTTATTTATTTGTTTTGTTCATTTGAGAAGTAGAGTTACAGACAGAGAGAGGGAGAGACAGAGAGAAAGGTCTTCCCTCCTCTGGTTCACTCCCCAAATGGCTGCAACGGCCAAAGCCAGGCTGATATGGAGCCAGGAGCCAGGAGCTAGGAGCTTCTTCCGGGTCTCCCATGTGGCTGCAAGGGCCCAAGGACTTGGGCATCTTCCACTGCTTTCCTGCACCACAGCAGTGAGCTGGATGGGAGGAGGAACAGCCGGGACACGAATTAGCGCCCATACGGGATGCATACAGGTGGAAACAGCCTACTACACCACAGCACTGGCCCCATGAAGCACTTATCTGAAAAATGAGATTCTTAGAACTTATCTTGAACCTACTAAGTCAGAATTTCAAGGGAGAACAGGACTAGCAATCTGAACTTTTAAAAAAAAATCCTGTGGATAACTTCTATGGCCTTACAGTTTAAGAATCATTGCATTTTAGTAAACAAGAGACTAACAAAAACTGCATTTCTTAAGATCCCAAATGAGAATGAAGATCAAAAGAAGAAGTATCCTTCCTGCCCTCTAGTCCAAAATTCATTGTCCTGAACTGGAAATTATTTCCCATTGCAATTCTCAGAATCCTTGTATCATGACTGGGAGCGAGCAGCTACACACACAGTAGAGGCACGTGCTGAAGTCTATCTTATGGTCTTTAAAAAAGAAACAGAAGAGGTGCAATGTCAATGAAATGCTGGGGTTGTAACTATCTGGCTGTTCTTTTATTATTATTCATCAACATTCAAACTAATAACCTGACTTCCTATTAAGGGCAGCAATGCAATGATCTCTCTGCACCTTTTTTTATTTACTAGGAAATCAACCCCCCTAAAAAAAGTCCAGATAAGGCTGGCCCCACGGCTCACTAGGCTAATCCTCCACCTGCGGCGTCGGCACCCCGGGTTCTTGTCCCGGTCAGAGTCCCGGATTTTGTCCCAGTTGCTCCTCTTCTAGTCCAGCTCTCTGCTGTGGCCCGGGAGTGCAGTGGAGGATGGCTCAGGTGCTTGGGCCCTGCACCCACATGGGAGGCCAGAGGCGTCTGGCTCCTGGCTTCGAATCAGTGCGGTGCGCTGGTGGTAGCGGTCATTTGGGGGGTGAACCAACGGTAAAGGAAGACCTTTCTCTCTGTCTCTCTCTCTCTTACTGTCCACTATGCCTGTCCAAAAAAAAAAAAAAAAAAAAAGTCCAGATGAATGTAAATGTGGCAGACTGTCTGCCTGAAGAAAGGCCTGATAATTCCAGGTATCACTGGATGCACGCTCTTTTACAATATCGCTTGGCTACCTTGCAACGGGACTAGTGCCCTGACTGCCTTTCCCTTAGAACACAGAAGTGATGCTGTCGGTCTTTCCAGCGCCAGCTCTCAGTGGCCCTGCAGCTTCTCACTCTCCTGGAACAAGACCACCACTCGATGAAGACCCCCCAGGATGGAAGCCTCACCCATTCATTCAAACTGTTTCAGCCATGCCCGCTGAGCCACCAGCTGAGCACAGCCTTGTGACTGAACCCAGGTGTGATAAGTGCCCATTCAACAGAAGGAAGTCGCCAAGTTTTGCAGTGGTTTGTTACAAAACAATAGCTAATTCATATGCTAAGGAATAACCTAAGTCTAA